GATTATAATGTAATTGTTATTGTTTTTCGAGTTCATTCTCATATTACAAAATATTCTTTACAGGGAAAAAAACAAGGAAAAGGTGCTAAAAGGCAAGCTCCTTTATCACTGGAAGACGATTATGACCCTACACGTCCAAATGATTATGAAGAATATAAAGAATATGAAAAAAGACGTAAAGAAGCTGCTTATCATGAAGAACATTCTAGACGTAGATCAATGAGCCCTGAACCAAGGCAACGTTCACCACCTCGTAAGCTTATAATTCTTATTTTACATTTATATTGTTATTGTTATATATATATATATATATATATATTTATTTTTATACAGTACTAAAGTAATTGTACGTTTATTGTACTTTAAGGTTCGTTCCCTCCTCCCCCATCATTATATTCAGAAACTCAGCCATTAGCAGTTGAAACATCTGTTCAAGAAACTCCTAGGCCACGTACTCCACCTGCCAAGATTGATTTAGATATAACAGGTGAAGAGGCATTTTTACGAAGAGCACGACTGAGCAACCGCGTTAATGAGACAGTCCAAAAGTATGTAATTTTGAAATTTGTACTTCACTTTTATAAAACAATTAATTTTCACTCTTCTCAGATCTCCCGAGCCAAAAGCTACATCTGGACCATCTTCTGGCGAAGATTTTGCACATCGAATACTTGCTAAATACGGTTGGCAAGAAGGTCAAGGTAATTTATGACTTTTCTTTTTATTTTATATTGTTAAACATTACTTTATTACTTTTTTTATTCATATTCATATATCTTAATAGGATTAGGAAAAGATGAACAAGGTATTAATGAACCTTTGAAAGTCCAAAAAACAGATTATAGATCAGGAATTATCGTTAATACATCCACCAACATACCGGGTAATTATATTTTTAGCCTTCCTTTGTAATTATAATATTTCAACTAAAAGTTTAAATTTTTTATAAAGAAGCGAAGTCTACGGCGAAAAGTGACACAGCTCCTTCAAATGTTGAAATTCCTTCAAGAGTAATTTTATTGACAAATATGGTGAGCTTGTTTGCGATTAATTGTACTGAACTAGTTTCTTGAAACATATAATTTCACTAATCATCACTAATAATCATAATCACTAATAATCATACATTTAAAGGTTGGTCCTGGTGAAGTGGACGATACTCTTCAAGAGGAAACTGCTGATGAATGCAATGAAAAATATGGTGCTGTAGAACGTTGCCTTATCTTTGAGGTCAGTTATTTCATTAATATTTATTCCTTGTTAATTAACTTCTTATTAAACACGTTACTTTGATCAGGTACCTCATGGAAAATTGCCAGATGATCAAGCTGTAAGAATATTCGTGAAATTTGAGACACAAGCGGCTGCATTAAAGGCAAAGAAAGATCTTAATGGTCGTTTCTTCGGAGGTCGTTCTGTAACAGCCAAGTTTTTCGATGAATCAAGATTCGACAAATACGATTTGGCTCCTTCCCCAGCGGAAATCCAAAGAGCCAAGCAAAAATAAGGCTGTGACCCAAACCTTTTTGAATTATGATATTATTATGTACGTAGTTTGAATTTGAGAATTGGGATTTTACTTTATTTGGGATAATGACCAAAATCCAGATGTATTTCCCATTTTCGATTAATAGCTCCAAACTTAAGAACCGGTCAAATTTATTAAATCAATGTTATAAATTATTAAAGTTTCATTTTCTGAAAGTGATTTAGCGACTAAGCAGGATTGTTAAATAAATTGATCTATTAGGTCTAATAGTTATATCAGAAATATATATATATAATTAATTACAATTATAAAATGAACGAACGTTTTCATATCCAAAATAAACTTTAAATCTTAAGTAATAAACTTTCGACTAAGTTTTCTTCGAAAAGTGTCTAATAGTTTTTTGGAGAAAAAAAAACCCCTTATAAAAATTGACCCTTATTTGTTATGTTGTTCTCATTTGGTAAATGAATTATTCGTAATCATT